GCCTTTAATTAAAATAATAAGGCATAATAAGCTTTTAACAATCTTAAGCAAGTAATCCTTAATAAACTTATATTAGTAATATTTAACTTAAATAAAAAAATTAAACTAAAAATAGATTTATTAAATTTTGCCTTAAGAAGATAAATTAAATAATAAGATAATATAAGAAAACTATACCTTATTGCCTTTTACTTATATAAACTATATAAAGTAAAACTTAATTATTTAATTTATAATAAGAAGTTCTTAATAATTATTAACTATTTTAAGAAGTTTAGATATTATCTAATAGAAAGTAAATATTAAGTTAAGGTTTATATTAACTATTAAAATATTTTATAATTTATTATAACCTATAAACTTAATTAATAATAACTATATTATATAAAATACTTATATAAATTTAATTTTATAATTATTTATTATAAAGGATTTAAAAATAAAAAAGTAAATATAATTAGTTAATAACTAGATTATAATATTAATATTATTAAGGTAAAAAAGTAAGTATTAAAAAAGAATAAAAAAGGAGAATATTAATTTACTTAGAAAATATAAACTTTAAGATAAATATAAGTAAAAGTAATTAAGGAAATCCTAAGAGAGATTTTATTAAATAAAAGGCTAATATTTACCTTTAAGTTTTAGTAATTACTTATAATACTTATAAAAGTTAATTACTAACTTATAATAGTATTTAGACTATAAGTAAATAGTTAAATAAAATAAATAAATTAAATACTAAAATAATATTTTTAATACTATATTAACTATAAGTAAGATAACTAGGTTAAAAAACTACTAAATATCTAGCTAGCTTATAATACTACTTATAATAAGAATATAAAACTTATATTATTTAATATAAATATTAGATTTATACTTAATATATAATATAATACTTAAGAACTTAAAAATATAAACCTAGTAGTAATTATTATAAGTAATAAGCTAAGAGAAATATATAATAAACTTAAGATTAAGCTAGAATTTATTAAGAAAAAGATATAAAGATATTATAACCCTAAAAGGTTAAAGAAATTAACTTTTAAAGAAAGGAATATAATTTACTTATTTACTAAAAACATTAAAATAAATTAATTAAGTTATAAACTAAATTATAAGTACTTAAGATTAGTTAAGATTAAATAAAAGATAAGAGAAAATTAATATAAACTAGATTTACCTTTAAATATTAGATATTATTTAATTTATTATATTTTAATACTTAAATTAACTATTAATATAATATATATTAAAACTAGTAATAAACCTTAATAAATTATAAGACTAGAGATATATAAAGTAAAGGAAATTAAGGATATAGAAAAGGTTAATAAATAAAAAATATACCTAATTAAATAAAAAAAACTACTTAAAAAGTAAAAATATATAAAAACTAATAAAATACCTTATTAATACTTAATAACTCCTAAAGAACTTTTATTAATAACCTTAGAAAATAAAGAATTAAAGACTAGGTTTTTATTAATAATATTAGCACTACTAAAAGACTAAATATCTAGAACTGCTATATCCTCTTCTTAAGTAATAATATTACTTATAAAAGAATTCATATTATTAATAATAAACTAAATACCTTAATTATATAATGAACGCTTTTAATAATAAATATAAGATAATCTTATAATAGCCTTATTAACCTTTTATTAGGCCTTAAGAAGCTTTTCCTAAGCCTCTTCTTCTGCCTATTTTAAATAATTAGACTTATAATTTAAATAAAAAACTAAAAGAAAATAATTAGTAAAAAAGCAATAATAATAAGGGAAATAATATATAATAGGCAATTATAATACTAAAGGTATTATAGGATTAACCTTATTAAGTATACTTAAAGTAATAAAAAGAATATTTAATTATTTTATAATAAAGGCCTTTTGCCTTATAAAAGGAATAAGGCATAATATTAAAACTAAATTTTATAATTAAATTTATTAAATAGATATACTTTAAAGTCTTATAAGATTTTAACTAAATATTTTATAATATAATAATTAATAAAGTATATTAGGAAAATAATAAAGAAAGAGAGTTAGTACTTATTAAAGCCTAATATAAAAATAAAGAGATATATAGGTCTTAAGGATAAGACTTAATAAAGGGGAGAGATTATATTATAACTTATATAGTTATATTATATAGCCCTTATACTTTTTACTAATTAGCCTATTCCCTTAAGTATTTAAAAAAAAGTAATTTATAATTTAATATAAAATAAATAAAGGTTAGTATTAATAATAATAGCACTTAATTACCTTCTTAATTATATAATAATTATAGTTTTCCAAGAGATAAACTAATTTATATTAAGTTTATATTAGTAAATTTATAAGGTAAAGGTTAAGTAATTATTAGTAATTATATCTCTTAATATTTAAGTTATATATATTAGGCTTATTAATATAAGAAAGTCTTATTAATAGCTAGTATACTAGAATTTATAAAAGTACTAATAAATATATTTTATATACTTATAAAGAAATACCACGCCCTATTTATTAACCGCACCTCTAAAGTATATTACCCAACCTATTAGTCACACTTACTAACATTAATTATAGGCACCATTACAATACCTACTATATGCAACAGCCTGCAGCCTAATTAAGGCTATTATATAACTAACTATAATCTTATTAATATAATTAGACCGGCCCTATAGCAAACTAAAGGCAATAATTACTGCATATTATATATAATAATTAAAGTTATTAAAATAAACTTCTTATTAAGGAGTAAATTAGGCCTAATTAAGATAGCTATTTTTAAATATAACTTAATTAAGTTAATTAGTTATATAAATCTAAACTACCTAGGAGATATAATATCTCTAGCCTAGCTAGGCTAAGAGCTATATAGATTAAAGAAGTAAAAAAAAGTCTTAAGGTAAGACTAGCCTTTAAAGGCAGAAGAGGCAGTTTTCCTTACTACCTTTATTAACCTCTTAGTTTAATATAAGGAGTAGCTTATTAATATAATTATTAAAGCTAAATAGGTATATTATATTTTCTTTATTATATAAAAATAAAAATAAGGAGTTTATATATAAAATTAAATAAATATAAGATAAAGGCAGGGTTTAAGACTTTAAAGAAATTATATTAAGTATACTTTATATAAGTTATTTAATAAAACTTAAATTAACTTAAAGTTATAATTAACTTAATTAAACATATATAATAGGGCATATAACTAATTAACTATATATATAAAAATAATATTTATAAAAAAAGCATTTTAAGCTTTTTAAATTATATAATAGAGTTATAAGCCTAGTACTTATTAATATTTAATATATAATAATTAATAAGTAATTTATTAAATATTTCTTAAATAATAAATACTTTAGGGGGAAATTCTTATAAATTTTAGTTAAAAATAAAATAAATTATAATTTATTTCTTTATATTAAATAAATAATATACTTTTAAAATTTAATTATATTAGAATTAGAGATTATTTTATTAATATTATAAGATTATATAATTAACTTTATATATTTATCTTATATTAAATACTTATTTTAAAATTAGTTTAAAATAAAAAAAAGGCAAGAAGTATTTTAGCTTAGTTTTTTAAGTCTTATATACTTAATAATTTAAAATTAATTAATTAAGTAAAAAGTTAGGTATATACTTAGATAATTTATATACTTATTATATATATTAACTATTAATATAAGAAATGTAATTAGAGCTTTAATTAGGACAAGTTTATGCCTTTATAAAAATTACTAAAAGATTAAATAAAATGCTAATTTTGCAGTTAAATTATATAACTTAGCTAGCTAATAAAACTTGCCTAAATATATATAATCTTTTTATAGTTAAAAAATAAATAAAAAGAATATATTAAACGCGATATTATGCTTTGCTTTTAAATAATTTATTAAGTGATTGTTTGAAGACGAGTACAGGGTAAGTTTTTGGTCAAGTCGAGACTAATTACAGTTAATTGAGATGAGACCAAAGTTGCTTAGCAACTTCGGGTACCTCCTGGTAGTATTAGCTAAGGGCGGCTCTTCAACAACATCGATTAATAAGTAGGATAGCATTATCCCAGTAGAACCCGTTTTTCATCATCATGTTTAGTGGCGATGCAGTCTTCTCATGATTGACCGCAAAAGCAGGATGTTTAAATAGGAAAGAAAGAAGAAAATTCGAGGAGCACGTATCTCACTTGAGATTACTCATATGCGAGTCGTGTACCTCGTCAAGCAAGGTTCCAACAGGTTCAACCGGCTTCGTCTAGTCTGTCCGTTCCATGGCTGAGGGCCAAATAGTCAAAACGACCTACAATCCGATTCGATTTTTGTGCTGAAACTTCTCGCATCAAAGAGGAAATTCGGAGCGCCCTTGCCTGGTGACGTAGGTGTAGGTACTTGGTCTCTTGGGGTATAGCCATCGCCATTAAAATTTTCGCACTAACAGTTTGTAAGCGGCGTGAAAAGTGATTATGTGGTAGCGCTCGACGTTCCCACAGCTCAGCATGGGTCTCGCCACGAGTGGGGAAGGTATGGTAGTAGAGCAATTAAGTGAATAACAATATACTTCTAAAGTCCCCATTAATCCAAGGTTAGTTCATCCATCTACTGACCAGTTATTCAGGCTACGGGTAGTTAGCTGGTTCTAGACCCTGTAGGCACAGCGCTTGGGCTATTACGTTCCCTGATTCAAAAGTAGGGAGTTACTGAAATGGTTCACCTTGTCGTTGCTGTACAAGTGCAAGCGCTGTTAGCCTCTCGCTAATAGAGTTTGGGTTTACGGCAGTCCAGGTGGCATTGCCCCCTTTACTCTACCCCACAGTGCCTCCTTACCCCAGATTAAGACTCAGAATTTCTGGGGAAGTTTGGAAAACCTGTAAAGACAGATACTTAAAAGGGAATCTTCTACCCTTGATTTCTACATGCATTAGCATTAATAACTTGTTAACTTTTACATACCCTACCTTTTGGCCTTTCCTGTCCCGCATCACTAACAATGCCGTTGTTTACCCTCGCACGCGGCAAAAGCGTTCAAGTCGGCGTGACCATATGCTGCCTCGTCGCGTTCGTGCTTTTTGGCTACGACCAAGGAGTGTTAGGTGGTATTCTGGAAAATGAGGATTGGCAAGCTCAGTTTGATCATCCGAGTGACACGGAGACTGGAATCATAGTTTCTTGCTATAACTTGGGTTGCCTGGCAGGCTGTGTTAGTATGTATTAGAAACGCTCTGGCTCTTCCGTATACTAACCCTGCCACAGTCAACTTCTTCGTCGGAGACTTGCTTGGCCGTCGCAGAAATATTTGGCTTGCCATGGGCTTTGTTCTTATCGGCGCTACCCTTCAAACCAGCGCCTACAATGCTCCTCATCTGATAGTAGGTAGAATCATCACTGGATTTGGTACAGGCATTAAGACTTCGACGGTACCGATGTAAGTCATTGTAATCTAGCAAGTATCCAAGATCATAGTGGTTGATATGAAGTTAGGTATCAATCAGAGCTTTGCGACCCTAAAGCTCGCGGCCGTCTCGTCTAAACCGAGGTTCTTTTCGTTGGAGTCGGGATTACCATCGCTTATTGGTTCGACTTCGGCATGTCTTTTGTCGGCGGCTCAGTTGCGTGGCGTCTTCCCATTGCATTCCAACTCGTCTTCGCAATTGGCGTCATCATTCTTGTTTTCGCGCTCCCGGAATCCCCACGTTGGCTTTTCATGAAGGGACGCGATCAGGAGGCCATCAACGTCTTATGCCAGGTCCACGACAAAGATCCATCAGACCCGTCTATCGTAGCGGAGACACACTCTATCCAAAAAGCCATCGAGCTTGAACTCTCAGCAAACAAGAGTGACTCATTCTTCAGCATCTTCAAGAAGGATAATATTAGTACCAGGTATCGTATCCTGCTTGCCTGGGGTGTTCAGTTCATGAACCAGGCTGGAGGAATCAACCTTGTTGTCTATTATATCCCATCTGTCCTAGTGCAGAATGTGGGGTTCGAAAAACGCACGGCTCAGATTCTTGGTGGTTGTATCAACATGATGTTTATGTTTGGTTCCATCTTGCCCTCTATTGCTCTGGATCGAATGGGCCGCAGGAAGACAATGCTCTGGGGCTGCTTAGGTCTGGGTGTTTGCATGCTCATGGTAGCAGCCCTTCTGTCTCGGGTCGATTATCCTAATGGCCACGCTTGTGCATCGGCCGCTGTCGCATTCTTCTTCCTCTACATGTTGATTTTCGGCATGAGCGTCAATTGTGTACCTTGGGTCTATGTTCCTGAGATTCTCCCTCTTGAAGCACGAACTCGAGGGACAGCAATTGGAGTCAGTTCTAATTGGCTCTGGAATTTTACTGTTGTGATGATCACGCCAGTCATCATTAACCGCTTGCAGTGGAAGGCCTATCTCATTTTTATGGTCAGCAACTTCTTATTTGTGCCCATTTTCTACGTCTTCTACCCAGAAACCAGCAACTTCAAGCTGGAAGATATCGACCTTGTCTTTTCTCAAGGAAAGAACCCGGTTTCTGTCGCAAGACAAATGTCGAAGGACATGACGAACAATGCGAGCAGAATCAGTCATGATAGTGGCGGCAACTCGACTGGCCCTGAAAAAGATGATATTTTCATGGTGGAAGTTGCTTAGGAGCCATTGCACGACGAGTTTTATGAGGTCGTTTAGACCTGTGATGTATTCGAGGACGAGTGTGGCACAGTTTCGACAGCTGAAGGGAGTCTTGGAGGCCTTTTGGTGTACAAAGCATTGCCATGGAGGGGATGAGTTCGGTATGCAAGACAACTGTTTCTGGGATAATATCTAAGAGTCTATTGACTGAAAGTCAGACAATATTCCAGGTGCAAGCAATAACAGGCCTATTTCTCTTCTTCCATCCTATAACTACTCTCATCCCTTTAAAGATATCTTTCCTCAAGCTTTTAGCAATATCGCATAAACCCATATACTTTTTTAAAAACCCAATTTACTTCTCTCCTCTATGAAAAGTGTAAGTACCTGCCCTTTCTCCACGGGATAGTTCACCTCAATACAAACAAGAGTAAACATAACCTGTGTGCCCTGGCTTTTACTATCCAGCATCAGTTCCGGTACTACAAGGACTACTACGTAAATCTGGGAAACAAAAATACAAGGCATGGCTCCACGTAGGACTGAACTATAAACCTTTGCATTAGAAGTGCGGCGCTCCCACCATTGAGCTATGAAGGCCGCTAGGTCTCCACACCGTAGGTCCTCGTTGGGTTCGATGGTCACTAACTTCTCAAGATCAAAACCTTCTGGCTCAGAAAAGATTTTCTCGTATCTTGGTCTACAATCAGGTCGAAAACATATCTCTGACTTTCACATACACTATGGTACAATTATTTGTCTCTAGGCATTATTTCCTTTCCGCGTAGACCGTTTTATTTTACTTTATTTTATGACTATATAGAGAGACTGTACAGCCCACCCGACATCGCAGCTGAGTTATGTGCATGACTCTGAACTGATACAGCCATGGCTTTTGGGAGATTCTCATCTTAATTCCAGACACCCCTTCTTCCATTGTTTAGACTCTATAGACGATTTTATAATTCGAAATCTTACCGTCGCGGTACTCCTGGAAACCTTGCGGAACACCATTTAGACCGCTTTCAACTAGCTTGGGAGTGTTGGGCTTGATTTGACCTGACGAAGCTAGGCTAGGCAATTCGTGGAAGTAACCCGCAGCAAGTTCATGATCCGCTTCTTTGGGCTATCGATCTTGTCAGTCTTCATATCATTTTCATTACCATGGGAAAGATGCTCACCGGCCAGTAAAAGTCCCCGTAACGATGTTCCTTGAGAAATGCTGTCCACACAAGAACGTCGGTAACCTTGACACCGTCGGCCACACCTTCGGTGTTGGCTTTACCGGGTCGGACAGTGCACAAGACACCCTCACTGTAAGTGATGGCGGATGAGGCGGTTTTGGAGGAATTCCCGTTCCCGATGGTATCAAACACATAACGAAGACCCGGGGCTGCCTGTCGGATGTTGTCGACTACGTGGGAATCCCGGTAGTCGAATACTTCTTTGGCTCCATATGATTTGACAAGATCGTGGTGCTTTGGGCTGCAGGTTGCAATGACCTGCAATCCATGCAGCCTCGCAATCTGGACTGCATAAAGTCCTACGCTTGCTTCAACTGTTGTTAGTTACCGAGACTAATGTTGGGGGGGGGGGGGAGATGTAGCGGCAAAAGACGGGTGATGCGACATTGGAACTTACAGCTACCTCCCCAGATGAGTACAGTGGGCTTTTCATCGGCCTTCGCATCTATGGCAAGGCAGTCCTTGGAGAACAAGCTCAGCAGGGCCGTACACGACGCAAGGGGGATAGTGCATGCTTGTTCGTCGCTCAAGCCTTCGGGAACGGGGAAGCAAATACGCTCGTCGGCAAGGGTGTACTCGCTGTATCCGCCGAGACCCTTTGTTTCACCGAGCCACTCATTAGCGCTTCTGGACACAAGCGCTTATCACAAGCGTCGCTGCACGTACCGCCCCAGATGAGACCGGCAATGGTGGTTCCCTTCGTAATCCTAGTTACATCTGAGCCGGTCTCCACGACAACGCCAACAAAATCGCAGCCAAGAACAGCACCATCGCCGAAGCCGTTGCCATCGAAAGATTGAACTAGTGAGTTTAGTTGTGTTTGAATATATTGGGGGCAATACCAATCGGACTTGCTCACCATCTGTCGGGTTCTGAGCTACATGAGACACCCTGACCAGGAGCTGGTGTTTGCCAGGCTTAGGCACAGTGATAGGTTCCTTGACAAGCTTGGGAGTGTTGTTACTGTCGACCCTGACAACCAGGGCTTGAGCAGAAGTTGGAATTGACATTGCGAATGATTCGAGGCTTAAGGAATGCACAAAGAGAACAAAAATGATTTGATTCGGGAAAGGTAAGTTTCTTAGCGGTAAAACTTGCTATTTATTCAACAGGAGGTATGGGTCATTAACGTTATGACATATCCACTCCTGCCCCGCGTGGCTTACGTTCGTAATACGTCAAAGCCCTAGCCTTAATGTTTTACAAATCATTTGTCCGAAGTCATTGAAGTGCGCGAGTAGAGGTGGTGTAATTGTAAGGTGAAGCAAAGCAAGCTGAAGCGCCGATGGTGCCAGGGCTTGATGTCGAGTGGAGTCTTATTGGCTCTATCACAACCCCACACTTCAACCGGCCATGGCGGTTGGCATGTGGAAGCGCTTCTAAGAAATGGTGCTTAGACTTGCTGCCATCTTCCCGCTTACAAGATCTTGACGTCACGTACAATCGTCACATGAAAGATAACTGAGCTCGCTTTTCATTTATTTGTCTTAGTATCTACTATGTTACCTCCTCTCCAGTATTCCTTGTCCTCGCCTTGAACTACTAGCTCTGTGCAATCGTATTCAACCATGAGCTCTGAATACTTGTGTCTTCCCCCGCTGGCAGAGCTGAAGCCCAACAAGCCTGTTCCGTTTTCCATCCGCTTCAGCCCTGATCTAATTCAACTTACGCAACAGAAGCTCCAACTTGCCCGATATCCCTTCGAGCAAAGCGATTTCGGGCCTGATGACTGGTCGCAAGGTGCAAAAGTGGACAAAGTGAGACAATTGGTCCAGTACTGGCGCAATGAATACGATTGGGAAAAGCAGGAGGTTAGTGATCACTAATTCGTTACAGAAACCAGAGTGGCTCACTGTGACTACTAGAAATTCCTCAATGCCACGTTCAACCATTACCTGGTCAAGCTTCAAGTCCCAGGCTACGGCCCACTCGTGTTGCACTTTACGCATGCCAAGTCGTCAAGCGCAAATGCTACCCCGCTACTCTTTTCGCATGGTTGGCCAGGTTCTTTTGTAGAAGCCTCCAAGGTTGTCACGCAACTCAGCAATCCCAAAAACCCGACCGACCTATCCTTTCATGTCGTCGCACCATCAATACCCGGATTCGGCTTCTCTCCTGCCCCGAAAAAGTCAGGAGTAGGTCCCGAGGTTACAGCTCGAGCGTTCACGATCCTCATGACGGATATCCTTGGGTACAAGTGGTTTGTGACCCAAGGCGGCGATTTTGGGTCCTTCATCACCAGGTCGATGGCCATTCAATTCCCTGACGTCGTTCGAGCGCAACACCTAAACATGTTTCCCGTCCCACCCCCAACACTGTTCTCCGCCCCCCTGGCCTACCTTCGTTGGTGTCTGTCAAAGATTTTGTACTCTGACTTTGAGCATGAGGCCTTACGTGTGAGGCGCAATTTCGAGATTGACCAGAGTGGCTATTTAGAACAACAGAAGACAAGGCCTCAGACGCTGGGGTTTGCACTGGGAGATTCACCTGTAGGCTTGTTGGGCTGGTTTGTTGAAAAGTTCCATGACTGGGGTCATGTTGACGAAGCCTTTGATCCAGAGTTAGTCATAACTCTAGTAGTCATGCATTGGATCCAGGGAGCAACGCCTGGTCTAAGATTCTACCGTGAGGCCTTCGGGGCGCGACGCGAGGCGGAGAAGACGTTCGAGACATATGTCAATTGCCCTACTGGCGTTAGTATGTATGCTAAAGAACAACTACATGTGAGTAAGCTCCCAGAATGTGCTGTTATCAAGTGGCTAATTATATGTCTGTTAATCTTTGCCAGTGTCCTCAAGATTGGGCGCAACAGGCTGCTAACATCAAATATTGGAGGGAGTACGGAGTTGGAGGCCATTTTTCATCCCTAGAGTGCCCAGAAGCTTTCATTCAAGACATAAGGGCTTTTTTTGCTTCAGATTCAGTCAAGAGGTCAATCCGCGACGTGGCAGGAGGTCTATGAGCTGTGGTAGTGCTAAATAGTCAGGCAATAAGTTACCTAGTTGACCAAGAGGCTAAAGACGACACGAACTTCACAAGAGTAGACAAAACCGACTCGGGATAAAAGCCTCCTTCTTCTCTATTACCCCCACTGCATGCTGGTGCATGTCTGGTGGTGTTTAGAATGCAAGGTAACATAATAAACCCCTCGTAAGTATTAATACACTAAATGCATTATTATATTTATTATATAGTTAGTATTAGTTAGTATATCGTATTTTTAAAGGCGATTACCAGCTTTTGATAAAATAATAGAATTATAATCTAGTTTCAAGATTATACTTTAGCCTTAAGACAAACTGAAGTGCCTGAATTTTCTCATAACATTTTAGATCTCTTTCTCGCCTGTCCTTAATTAAATAGTGCTGATCTCTTATATTGCCTATACTAGCTAGAGGCTGGCATAATATTTGAGAATACTTTATTCTTGCCTTTACCTATTTTTTAGTATAGAATGAGTTGTCCCAATTTTATATGACATTTCGTGGAACTGTAGTATATTTTATCTCCCTAGCTAGAGTATCTTAGATACCATGGATTTATATTCAAATTAATTATTTTCTAATAACGGCAATAGACATAAGCAACCGTACTAATTAACGGGTTTTACTAGTTCCTGTTTATAAGTTATAGAATCATCAATTAATTTTCCAGGCCCCAGAGTATCCTCAAATCTTTTGCTCGATCCGAAGTTTTCCAGCCCGTTTCGCGCTCGATTTTCGCCAGGTGCCCGAGCAGGGCAATCTTCTCAGCGGCAAACTCGCTATGCTTACATGGGCTACGAGCATCTTCAGAATCGCCTATGACAGAGGAACTGCTACCTGTTGATGCAAGATCCATCCGCCGCGTTCTTCCAGACTTTAATATCGAGATAACTCCATCTTCATGCCCTGGCGTGATTGCAACATCAAATACCGTACCTGCGATGTACAGGGGCTGAAGATGATTTACCCAATTCGCACTGGGTTGGTTAACATCAAAAGTCTTGTGATAACTTAAAGACCAAGTTGCAAGAGTAGCACGCTTACTGAGATGAATTGCTAACAGAGATCCCTCCAAGCTCTCTAGCATGCCAATGAGGGCTGAGCTTTCCAATGTCAGTACCGAAAGTAAGGCTCGCTAGCAGCTAGACACGTACTACTTCAAATGGGTCCAGGTAACGGGCAGGTGTGACCAATCCGCTTTGTAGCAAAAGAATCGAACCAGCATGGTAAAAGGTATTTCCACAAACTAAAAGCAGAATCAGTCATGAACTATGAATATGGAGATCGCTGACTTACTTGATGCTGATAGAGCAAACATAACGGTAGGGAATGGGTTCTTTTCTAATCTTTCTGTCCTCAAGAATGGCTTCACACTTGGGAGACGCCAGTGTCTCCAGCGCTGAAGCTCTTCCCATAACGCCTGGGTCATATTTCTACGCTGGTCATTGTCTTTCACGTTGAGGACGTTGATGATCCTGGCGAAAATCAAGATGGCTAGATTGCAGTAATCGTCAGTGCCACCTTTTTCAGCAACCAAGACGAGCGAGTCGCAATCTACCCATGAGTCCGTGGGGATTAAAGTGGTCTGATTGAGGATGAAGGCGGCCCAGACATCTAGCGTGCGTTAGCAGTCGTGACTTCAAGCTCTTAATGACAATCCTACGACTCAAGGAATAGCGTACCTATTCTTGCGAACGCCCAGAAGCAAGATTTTATGATGCCCTGACTATTGCCGTTCCATTTACACATTCTTAGTAAGTCGGCACAGCCCTATGAGTACACATACAAGTCAGCTCGTACTAGGCTCAGTGATTGCAGGTAATCGGCGTACCCTAAGATGACGTCTCCATTCAGATACGTTTGATGCCATCATCTCGTATGCACAGAGTATCGTACATGTTGCGAGGATAGATGCATCTGCTTTTGTGGGATCTTGACCTAGTAAGAGTCGAATAGTGTACTGATAAAGTTCAAGCGTAATGGGTCGACGACAACCTTGCACAGCATCTAATTGGCGTGAAGCGAGAGACATGGCTGCCGCGACAAAAGGCTTGGAGTTCATCACTTCATGAACGCTTTTGGCGGAGAAATGCATTTCTGAATCTGTTGTCTCACACCATGTGGCAGTCTCTTTGATATACGCAGTCATGAGGTTGATCTTAGTGGTCTGTGAAACAGGGAATCGAGGCTCAGGCTCAGGAGATGCGCCACGTGATATGGCCTGTCCGAGGGAGAAGGGAGCGGCGTATAAATCGGAGATCAAGAGTTCAGGGATCTGGGGTGGTGCCGCAATGGCGGGGGGTGAGATATGGGGGACTGGGGTTAGAGGACTGAAGGAGTGGAATACATTGTTTTGATCGGAATGCGGAATAGCTTCTTCGTCTCCATGTTCAGGAGTACAATCCTCGTTGTGTAGTGCTCCACCATCCACATAAGATGGTATGTCCTCAGCAATGACATTAGGCGAGCAATCGTCATGTTCTTGTAGAGGATGTTGAAGAGCTTCGTCTTCGGAAGCATCTGCTACGGAAGATTCATCATCATGGTTGTAGAATGAGCGAACAATGTCTTGTGTATCATCGATAATCTAGATAAGGGATAGGTATTAGTTGACGATTGCTAGAAGAGGAACATACGGCAGGGGAGAACTCACAGTGAGCGTTTGCACTCTTCGATGATCAGTCTTGGGTCCATCGGGCTGAGCTCTATGTCTTTCCTTATCTAAGCGAGATAGAACTGCACTCTCCTCCGATGAGAGATGCAATGCTCTTGATGGGTGAAATGAAACCTTGAGTCCCCAGGCACATTCAACATGGCGCGTCTCGCATTCCCAACAAACAGGACGATGCCCATCACCTAGTATCCTTATGGTTAGTCCTTGTAAGGAAGAAGAAGATATTGGATACCCACACTTTCGTCTCCGCCGGCGACAGGGGAGACTATAGCAAGTATTAACGCTTGATCACAGGATCTGGGGAAGGATCGTTACCATCCTGATCGCGTGCGGCAATATTTCTTTTTTCTCGGCTCGCTGCGTGCCATTGCTGGAACGAGTGGCGTGTGGGAGTGGATAGACGTGGTGAGGCCGCTGAGAAAATGTAAGCGATCGTTTAGAATAGACAATTTTCAAGAGCCAGTGGGTCGGCAAGTCCTTAAATCCCTTCCCAAGCTAGAAAATACTTGGATCCGCTAGTGGCTGTGAGTGGAGGCGATAATGATGAGGCTTTGATTCCATGGGCAACTGTATGCACTGGCTTCAGAGTCGTCTAGCCTGAAATGTGCTAGTTTAAGCCTGGAACAAAAAGCTGCAAGTCTAAGCGCTAGTTTCCCCGCAATTAACTAGAGGAAGATGTAGCTCCACACTACATGCCCTTTTGTACATGGCCATCAGGTATACGATTGATTGGTGATGGCAAACCTCCTGAAAGTTCATAAAAGAGCCACGAAGACAGCTCAAGCCAAAGAAACTACCTTCTTCGATTTATTCAGTATCAACACACTTCTTCCTGCCTTCTTCTTTCACTCTTCTGTATCAATTCTACAACCATGGCCGGCTCTAAAGAAATAATTATTATTGGCGGAGGCATCTCCGGCCTCGGCATGGCAATTCAACTCAAACGTCTTCTTGGACACGATAACTTCACTATCTACGAGAAGTCGGACAACATCGGCGGCACATGGTGGCATAACCGCTATCCTGCTTGTGCTTGTGACATTCCCAGCCACTTTTACTCTTACAGCTTTGCTCTGAATCCTAATTGGTCGTCCATGTACCCTGGCCGTGATGAGCTTCATCGGTATTTCATATCTGTCGCTGAGAAGTTCAACATCATCCCTCACTGCCAATTCAACACCATGTGTCTGGATCTGCACTGGGACTCGGCCCGCATGCTTTGGATCTGCCACTTTGAGAATACACAGACGGGGGAAAGATTTATGCGCGAAGCCCCCATCGTCGTCAGCGCTATTGGTACGCTGGATCGACCTTCCATCCCTAAAATTGAGGGCGCTGAGACCTTCCAGGGCAAGATGTTTCATAGTGCTCGCTGGGATGACTCGCTGGAGGTTAAGAACAAGAACATCGTGGTGCTTGGTAACGGTGCTTCGGCAACACAATTTGTTCCAGAGCTTGTTAAACAGGTTGGGCCGAAGGGAAAGGTGACTCAGCTGGTGAGAAGCGCTCATTGGTGGACTAAGAGAGTAAGTTGTCCCTGAAGCTACCTACATTATAACTCTGAATATGCATGAATTGACACATATCTACAGGGTAACCCAACCTACTCATCAACATTCAAGTTCACCATGAAGTACGTCCCACTTGCTGCTCGTATATACCGTGTATTTCTCGCCTGGGAACTTGAGAAGGTCTTCTACTCCTTCCTCATGACCGGGAATGGTGCACGTATGAGACAGAAGATCCGCGATACTACCTATTCATACATTGAGAATGATGCACCACCCCAATATCGTGAAATTTTGAGGCCTGACTATGAACCTGGTTGCAAGCGTCGGGTCAACACCGCGACATATCTCGCGGCCTTGCATTTGCCGAACATGCACTTGGACAAAGACAGCGTTACCAAGATTGGTCCCCGCCACGTCGAGACGGCAAAGGGTATGACTTACGAAGCAGACTCCATTATCTATGCCACCGGCTTCATGACCCAGAAGTGGCTCTATCCTATGGAGATCAAGGGAGAGAACGGAAAGGACTTGCATGAGGTTTGGGACTCCACAGATGGTGCTGAAGCCTACAAGGGCACTGTCGTAACAGGATTCCCCAACTTCTTTATCCTGTATGGTCCCAATGCTGCCACCGGTCAGCATTCTGTTATTTTCCATTCAGAGTGCCAGATCAACTACATATGTCGCCTGCTCCGTCCAGTTCTTACTGGTAGCAGTCCCGCGTTCTCGATTATGGTTAAGCCTGAGGCTCAACGTCGTGACCTCGCCTGGGTGCATGGCAAACTTAAGGACTTAGTTTTCAACAGTGGTTGCCAGAGCTGGTGGATGGACCCCAAGACGAAGAAGAACACGTTCATCTATCCGGATCTTATGTTCTTGTATTGGTTGCGCACGATATTCCCACGCTGGTCGGACTTTGAAGTTCGCAGGGTTGAGAGTCCTAAGTCTTTAGCCTCGAGGGTTTTCATGGGCACTCTGATAAGTCTCGGTCTAGGTTCTCTTGCTGTGGTAATATTAAAGGATTCTGAAAAGTATTCGGAGATCATCTCGCAGTATATATATAATAACCTCTCGTAGCTATTAATTAAGTAGATTATTTATTTATATAGTAACATAGGCTATAAGCGAGCGTCGCACTTTCCCCTCTTACATCACACTTCAATTCAATCCTTTAATTACTTAACCATGAACTATGCCAGAACTATATATTGACGCTAGAACCCCCCTTGCACTCCAAGGTATTCAAAATAACCCAAAACTAAGCCCCCGACGCGCTGCATCTATATATCAGGTTAGTAAACGCCGGCTTCATCGCCGTCAACAAGGCATATAAACTCGACGCGATATTATTGCGAATTCCCGGATACTATCTGCTCTAGAGGAATAAATCATAGTTCAACATATTCTCAACCTAGGCTCGCAAGGACATCCTCCCCGATTATAAAATATTCAAGAAATCGCCAACTCTCTCCTCGCTGACCGCGATATGTTACGCGTCGGCAAGCTCTAGGCTAGAAATTTTATTTACCTACAACTAGACCTTAAGACGCGTTCTCAGCAGAGATATAACTATTAGAGGGTTAAAGGTAGTTATTCTCCTAAAGAAATACTATAATTATAGACTTGCACCTGGTAGAATTGGCTTATTTTATTTTAGACTTATATTAAATTTTAGAAGCTTTATTAGTAAGTCTAGTAACTAGCAAGGTCCTTAGAGTTATTTATATAAAAATAATAACTTTATCTTACTTAACCTAGATAGTAAGTTTTATCTTAGTTTACCTTATTAAGGCTTTAGGCCTTTATCCTAAGTTATATAATAATATTATCTTTTTATAATATAACCTGCTATGCATTTTAGATATTTAAAGGCAGTTATTTAAAGTAGTATAATATATAAATATATAAACTTCTTTTAATTTTAGCCTTTTTAAGGTTATACTTTAAAGCCTTTTACTTTCCTTTTAAGTATTTAAATTTAAGGATTATATAATAGAACTTTTAAGCTTTTTATTAGTTTTATTAATTTAAATTTAATAAAAATAAAAAATAATAAGAACCTTAAGTTATAACTTAAATAAGTTCTAAGTAATAATTATATTTAGTTATTATTAGTTCTTACTTAATATAACTTAATACTTTATATCTTTTATTAAGTAAATATAATAAACTTTAATATATCTTTTAATATTATAAAATAAGTTCTTATATTATTAAATAATACTTTTTACTTAATATATATTTATTATAATCCTAATAGTTATTATAATCCTTATAGCTATATTACATAGCCCCTATAAATTTCCTCTAATTAATTAATAACTTATACTTTCTCCTTATTTTTATTATAAGTTACTTAACAGAACTTATAATTAAACTTATAGATTATATATAAGCACTAACTTACTACAGCAAGTTATTATAAGTATATAAAATATATTTATTAACACTTTTATAGATTCTAGCTTACTAGCTATTAATATAACTTCTTTATATTAATTAAGCCTAATATATATTAAATCTACTATTAAGAGATATAATACTTTAATAATACTTAGTATATACCTTATATAATCTGCAAATAATAAACTTAATATAGCTTAGTTTAATATAATTAGATTAAACTATTATATATTAATAGCTCTTATTTAGACTATATTATATAATGCTAAGTAATATAAATACAATAGCTATACTAGTTACTTCTATCTAGTAATAAGCTATTACTAATATTATACTAACTCTAGTTAATAATAATTTACTTACTAACTAGGGTATAGGAAAAAATAATAAGAATTTATCTAATAGTAGTAATAACTTTAATATTATTTAACTCTAATAGCAAATTATAAATATAGCTATTAAGATAGTAAAACTTTACTAGATACTTATTAAAGCCATAAACCTCTAAGCCTAGCAGGTAAATAATAACCAGAACAGGCTTTAGGAAATATATAACCTTACTAATATTATAATTTATAATAAAAATACTAGAGAAATTCTTAAGCCTAACCTGCCTAAGATATTTAATAAGAATCTTAGCAGACTTTTTATATTCCTTACCTAATACTAAGCCTTTATATTATATTACCTAACCTAGTTTATAGAAGATACTAATAAAACTAGATATATATTAAGACGCCTTAAAGGCACAGCTATATAATAGTTTCAACCGCTCTTAGAAGACTAAACTAGTAAAGGAAACTTAAAGGCACTAAAACTACAAATATATATAATTTATATTAATTATTTAGCTTTTAAAAAAGCCTTATAATAGGCATTTAGCACTATTAATAAAAAAGGATAAGCTAAAAGAAAAATTAAATTATTTAAGTAAACCTAATTTATATTTAAACTTAAAGTAGATTTCCTCTAATTAGTATCTAAACTACCTTAAGATTAAAATATCTTATATTATTCTTTTTTAATATACTTAAAAAATTAATATAGGCTAAACTATATAAGGAAGACTAACTAAAAACCTTAATAAAATGCATTAATAAAGTAGTTAGAATTAATAACTAATTATTTAACTAGAAAACTTATAACTCCTAATATAATAACTAAAGATAATACGGAAATAAACCCTAATATAACGCTAACTAAAGAAAGAAATACCAAAACAATACATCTTATAACACTAAAGCAGGACTAATAATTATTAAAATAACTAAAAGAGATAAATTAAAAATTACTTACTATAACTATAGTAAGAAAGGACACTTTAAATAAGAATATAAAAACCCTATTAAAACTAACTAAAAATACAAACTAGTACCTAAAGGCAAGAAAATTAATATTATTAAAAAAGATAACAATCTATAAATAGTAATTAAAATTATTAATATAATTAAGAAAGATAGATATAATCTCTCTAATACTCTATTTGTAATAAACCCTAATCTACTTATAAGAGTTTATAACCTATTCCTTAGTAAGGAAGAAACCCTTAAAAAATACTACCCTAATCTAACACTAAAATAACAACCTATTCTTAAATACAAAATGCCAATTCTTATAAAAAAACAAGAAACTAAGGAAAAAATCCTTAAATAAAAAAGACTTAAATATACTAAAGATATAAAAGACCCTAAATTCTAAAGAAAATAAAATAAATAATAAAAGGGTTATAAAAATAAATAAAAAACCTAATAAAATAAACACGCAAGATAAAAAATTAAGTAATAGCAACTAGTGCTAACAGTAAATAAACCAATTAAGATAAATAATAAAGTTATTATAATAATAAAAAAGGAAAAAGAAATTAACCCTAACCTAAATAATAAACTAAATACTAAAGAATTTAATTAAGGTATTAATTAAGTATTAAACTAAATCTTTATAAAAGTAAGAATATTACTTAAAATTAAAAATAAAATAATTATATACAATCCCTACTTAATAGTAAATAATATCCTAGTTAAAACTACTTTAAAGTAACCTAATAAACACTATAGAGACTTAGGCTATACTAAAGTAACTAGGATATAAAGAGAACTTAATACTAAGATAATTAAATATAAAGAAAAATAAACAGTTTAAAATAATAAAATTATACCTTAATATAATAAATTTAAAAACTAGCTTTAAAATAATAAACACCAGAAGTATATAGAACTTACTAAAGAAAGAGTAATTATAAAATAAAATAATAATATCTATATTAAAGCCTATATAAAGGAAGTAATAGAAAATCCTATAACCTTAAAAAAACACATTTAACTAAAAAGGAAACTATAAAGGTACCCTTATTATCTAAATTATAAGTAGATATTATAAGTATTATATATATAATATTACTATTTATAATATTAGCAAGATAAGATAGTAAATAATTACTTCCTAGTCTAGATTAAGGAATACTAAAAATAGAAACTATACTTAATTATTAATATAATAAGATATTAAGTTATATAAAGATATAGAGGATCTTATATAGCTAGGCTAGAAACCTATATAGAAATATATAAAAGAGCCTTAATGTATATCTAGAACTCTAAATACATTATATAATAAAGATAATAGGTATAATATAAAGTTAACTTAAAAGAAAATAAAGCTATTAATAAAGGTATTACTAAAGTTTATTAAGATATTACCTAATAGAAAGAAGAATCTTCTAAAGAAAAGTCCTTAAAAAACATCTTTAAATAATTTAAAGAAAAACAACTCTAATACCTATTTATAATAGCAAAAAAGGAAAAAGGAAGACTCCTTACTAATTAAGAAAAGAAAGACCTTACTTTAAATTACAAAATAAGGAAAATAGCCTATAGAGAATACCTAGTAACTATTAACACTAATAAATGCCTAAATAATCTAAATTATATTTATAGTAAATATAGCAGGGACTACCTAAGCAAATAGGGAAAAGGTCTATACTATTTATAAAAGAGCAATAGATAAGTAAAAAACTAAAGAAAATAAAACCTAAAAAAGCTCTAAGAATAATAATAAACACAAGTTAAAGAACCTACCTAAAACTAAAAGTTAAGATTAAGGGCAAGTAACTAAATATACTTATAAATAGCAAAGCTAATATAAGTTTTATTTCCCCTAATATAATAAATAAACTATAGCTATTATAAAGAGATAAAAAGAAACCCTATATAGTAAGAAGTAAAAAAGGAGACCCCTATAACTATAAAAACAGAAACATTACTAGAGAAATTAATTACCTTAAGGTATTTATTAATAGAAAGAACTAAGGAATTAACTTTAATATTATCCCGGTATAAAAACATAACTTAATACTTAGATATCTATAGCTAATACACTACAACCCTCAATTTAACTAGATAACTAGCTAAGTAAATTATAAAAATCACCCTTTAGATAATAAGTTAAATAATTTAAATAATAATAATATAAGATCTTAAACTTTAACTAATAAAAGCAGTAAAGACAGGCATAATAAAGTATTACCTATTCTAAAAGGAATATAATATAAGTATTATAAAGGCAGAAATAAATATATTAAATAAATAATAATAACTCTTAAAGGATAGTTTAAATAGCTAGATTAAGATATTAAATAAATAAAACAAATTACTATAAAGGAATTTAATAAATAACTTAAAAATATACTACTAGAGTACTATATCTATAAGAAACTATTTTAAGAAAAACTAAATACTAAATTACCTTAATATACAGACTATAATATTAAAATTATACTAAAAGATAAACAAAATCTAAAATTCTTCCCTATTTATAACCTATCTAGAAATAAGCTTAATACACTTAAAGAATAAATAAATAATATACTATAAAAAGGTTATATTAAACCATCTAAATCCTCAGCAAGATACCTAGTTATATTTATACTAAAACCTAACTCTAATAAGCTAAGACTTATAATAAATTATAAATAACTTAATAAAATCACAGAAAAAGACAGGATACTATTACTGCTTATTACTAAACTTAAAAACCGCCTATTTAGCAAAAAATAGTTTATAACCCTTAATCTCAAATCCGCTTATAATCTTATCTAAATTAAAGAAGGTAATAAATAGAAAATAGCCTTTTAAATAAAATACAGACTATTTAAATACTTAATTATACCTTTTAAATTAACTAACATACCTGCAGTATTCTAATATATAATTATAAATATACTTTAAGAATACCTTAATATCTTTATAGTTTACTACCTAGATAATATCCTTATCTTCTCTAATATAGAAAAAAAGCATATAAAACATATCTATAAGGTTCTAAAAGTACTATAAGATAATAATATACTTATTAAACCTACTAAAAGTTATTTCTATTAGTCCTAAATAACTTACTTAAAATATAAAATCTTATATAATAAAATTAAGATAAATAAATAAAAAATTACTATAATTACTAAATAGAAAGTTCTAATATTAATAAAAGAAATATAATCCTTCTTAAGATTTGCTAACTATTATTAATAATTTATTAAAAACTTTAGTAAAATTACTATCTTACTTATAGAAATTACTAAAAAAAATAAAAAGTTTTAATAAAGTAATAAGGTATAAAAAGCTTTTAAATAACTTAAGAAAGCCATTACTAGCAAACCTATTTTAGTAATATTTAACTTAAATTAGCAAGTTAAACTTAAAACTAATACTTCTAACTTTACCCTAAAGAGATAAATAAGATAATAATATAATAATAGAATATTATACCTAATTACCTTTTATTCTTATAAAATATATAAAGCAAAGCTTAACTACCTTATTTATAATAAGGAATTCCTAGCTATTATTAACTATTTTAAGGAGTTTTAATATTACCTTAAAGGCAGTAAATATTAAAGTAAAAGTATTTACTAACTATAAAAACATAGCTTACTTTATAATAATATAAGAGTTAAACTAATAATAATTATAATATATTAAATACTTATATAAATTTAACTTTATAATTATATATTATAAAGGTATTAATAATAAATATATAAATACTATTAATTAATAACCTAACCTTAATATAAAAACTATTAAAATTAAAAAACAGCTCTTAGAGACTAACTCTAAAAGAGAATATTAATTTACTTAACTAATTAAAATAATTAGTAAAATAATTAAAGCATTAATATAAAATAAAAAACTTAAAGAATAAATAAAAAAAGCTAAAATTAGAAGACCCTATAACCTATAAGAAATAACTAATAATCTATATTTATAATTTATTTTAGATAAACTTAAAAAAGAATTAATACAAGATATATATAAATATCCCCTATATAGCCACTAAGGCATTATAAAAATATTAAAAAGAATATAAGAAAATTATAATATAAAAGGAATAAAAGAAATAGTAAAAAAGGTTATTTAATAATATAACCTCTACTTAAAAACAAAAGCATAAAGATATAAGCCTTATAGATAATTATAACTACTTTTAGTAATATAATAACCTTAAGACTTAATTATAATAAACTTTATTATAAAGTTACCCTTATTAAAAAAACCCTTAACTAGAATCTTCTATAATAGCATTATAATTATAATTAATTAATTTATAAAGTTTTCCTATTACCTACCTTATAAAGAAGTAATAGATATAAAAGAACTCTCTTATATTTTTTACTAATATATTATTAGTATATATAGGCTATATATAGAAATCCTTTCTAATAAAAGACCTATATTTATAATAACATTTTAGCAATTACTTATAGCATAACTTAGACTAAATTACTGACTTTTAATAGCCTTTAAACTACAGACTAATAGTCAGACCAAATAAATAAATTAAATACTTAAATAATACCTATAGTATTACATTAACTATAAATAAAATAATTAGGTTAAGAAACTACTAATAGCCCAACTTGCCTATAATACTATATATAATAAAAGCATAAAACTTATACTAACTTATATTAATTTTAGATTTATACTAGATATATATTATAATATATAATAAGAGAAATTAATTAATCTAGCTACTATACTTAAAAGTAATAACTTTAAAAGCCTATATAAAGAAATAAAAATAAAACTTAAATTTATTAAAAAATATATAAAAAACTACTATAACCTAAAATAATTAAAGGAACTAACCTTTTTAAAGGGAGATATAATTTACCTAGCTATAAAAAACATTAAAATAAACTAATTAATATATAAATTAGATTATAAATTTATAAGACCTTATAAGGTATTATAGAAAATCTTAAAAAATAACTATAAACTAAAACTACTATTAAAAGTTAGGCTCTATCTAGTCTTTTATATTTTATTACTTAAATTAATAGCAGATATAATATAAATTAAAATAAATAATAAACTATAATAAATTACAAGACTAGAAATCTATAAAGTAAAAGCAATTAGGAAAATAAATATAATTAAGGAATAAAAGATATACTTAATTAAGTAAAAAAACTACCTAAAAAATAAAAATATATAAAAACTACTAAAACACCTTATTAATACCTAATAACTCTTAAAGAGCTTTTACTAGTAATACTAATAGAAAAAATCTTACCTTAATTAATAATATTAGAAGCGCCTATTAATTAAGCTTTAATAGCAGCAAATAACTTAGTATTATCTACTACTTCTAAATTATCTATAATTTTAATATTATAAAAAAGCATCTCTTTACTATACTCTTATAACTACCTCTTTTAATAATAAAGATATATTAAATAACTTAATTACTTATTTACTTATTATTATAAGTTTATTAATTTAGTCTTACCTAACTCCTCTTTATACTCTAATTAACACTTCTTAGCAATAAAACAATTAGCTATAATAAGTTAACTATAGAAATTATATATTAAGGGAAAAATTTATAAACCTTTAAAAATAATAATACCCTTGCTATTACACTTATAACTATAATAAGTACATTATATATAATACTTATAACCCTCCTTAGCCTAGTATTTTAAGTTTTAAGGTTTATAATAACTATAAGGCATAATAAGAAAACTAGTATTTTTAATTAAAATTACTTATACTTTTTAATTATAAGTAGCTTTTAACTTTAATATCTTATTAATATAATATTAAAAAAATAATTATAAGTTTAAGTTAGACTTACTAAAAAAAGGATAATAAAAATAAGAATTATATAAGTCTTAAAGACAAGACTTAATAAAGGGGAAATATTATATTATAATCCTTATAGCTATATTATATAGCCTTTATAAATTTCCTCTAATTAATTAATAACTTATACTTTCTCCTTATTTCTATTATAAGTTACTTAATAAAACTTTTAATTTAACTTATAAATTTTATATAAGCATTAACTTACTATAATAAGTTATTATAAGTATATAAAATATATTTATTAGCACTTTTATAAATTCTAGCTTACTAGCTATTAATATAACTTCTTTATATTAATTAAGCCTAATATATATTAAATCTACTATTAAGAGATATAATACTTTAATAACGCTTAGTATACGCCCTATACAATCTGCTAATAATAAACCTAATATAGCTTAGTTTAACATAGTTAGACTAAACTGTTATAATAGTTATATTATATATACCTTGTATTTCTTACTAATTATATATAATTATTATAAATTAAGGGATTCTAGCTATAATTATTAAAATAAAGTTATTATAAATAAAATAGAAATACTAATAACTCTTATAAATTATTAGTAATTATTAAAATTACTAATAATTTATATTATTATTTTATAATTATAATTAATATATAAATATATTTATTAATACCTTTATAGAATTTAGCTTACTAGCTATTAATAAAACTTCTTTACCTTAATAAGCCTAAACTATATTATTAACTATTAAGAGATATAATACTTTACTATTACTTAGTATAATGCCTTATAACTCTATAAATATAAAACCTAGTATAGATTAGTTTACTTATTTAAAAACCCTAATTATTATAATATTCTAGCTAAGAATTATATTTTATATTTTTTTATAATATATATGCCTTTTTATATTATTTATATACTCCTTATATTAAATACCTATTTATTACTTACTATACTTTATAAAGCAATATAAATTCTTAATTATATTATTTCTATTTATAATACTAATATTATATAAAAGGATTATAATACTACTTATCTATTAGCTTTTTTTTACTAATAATAATAAAGTAAAAATATAAAAATATTTAGGGACATCTTATAAATATAAGGATAATAGGCAGTTAGGTTAATAATATTACTATCTTATTTTACTATAACTTCTAAGGAGTTTTTTAACTTAAAGGCTTAGTAGCTAATATACTAAAGCTATAAGAATTTAACTTTAGTAATCTCCTTATTAAAATAACGTTTTATATAAATTATTATTATAATATTTTAATATCTATTAATATAACCTGATTTAAGTATTTAAAGAGGGTTAACTTAGCTCTACCTAGAAAACATACTTATTTATTATATAATTAGCTATTATAGAAAGAAGCTAATATATTAATATAACTTAAAAGTAAAATAATATAATTAAAGTACTATTTTTATTAAATTAAAATAATACTAATTACTAAATATTTATATAAGTAAGTAAAAGAAATAATAAAGTACTTTTTCTTTTAATATATAAAATATATAATATAATATAAAAAGATAATATATTATTATATAAAAGAAAAGTATAGTAATTTATTTTTTTATTTTAGAAATTAAATAATATAAAATAAATAAAATTAAGTATTAAATATAAAAATAATATAAGCTATAATTAGATTTATATTTACTATAAGTTACCTAAAGTATAAATAATAATACTATTTACTTACTAATTATTAAAATATATTTACTAATAATAACTACCTCTTATATAACTAATAATATATACTACTTTAGCTGCTAAAGACAGGAAATTAAATACTTAAAGGAATTAGGCTTTAAATTAATTTATTACTCTTAACTAATATAAGAATCTAAATAAAACATAATAAAAAGATAAAAAACAAATAAGGCAGGAAATATAAAAGCTCTATAAGTTTAAGATATTAATTAGTTAAAAATATATATTTTTAGTTTTTAGAGCCCTATAGGTAGTAGCCTACTAGGCGTAATAGATCTGTCTAACTACTAGGGTCGCCTAGGTTAGCAGAGATGAAAAGTAGATAATACAGCGGGATTTGGACAAACCTTTATATAAGAGGTTTAAATATAATAATAGATACTTAATAAGCACCGACTCAAGGCTTAAATACAATAACAGATAATCGGTAATAACTGGTTTCTAACGGTTGACTCCTTCTTATACAACACCACTTTTCCTTATTATCTCTCTTACTAACAAAGACCATCGCAGTGGACTTTGTTGTGGTCGACAAAGTTAATTGTCAACTCCCCATGATGGTCAATATCATTATCACCCTGGGGATAGAACAAAGGAACGCTTCCGCACATTCGGCATCCGTGATTATTGAGAGCTTCCAAGAGTGGCTTGATCGAGCGACCTGGAGCGCCCCCAGATTTCTGTAGAAATGCACAAGAGCTCAAGGGGGCCTTGATTCCGATTTCGGTATGAGGATATGAAGTAAAACACATGATGTGCTCGCCATTGTTATACCAGCGGTTGGGGTCGATTCGGTTTGCCTGACCTAGGTAATCTCCAACACCCTGATAGAGATTCAACTCTGGGCAACGAGCATTGCCCTCACAGTTAATTCCTTTAGCGGAAGCCATATTAATGATGGCGAGTGCGGTAGTTGCAATGGCAAACTTCATGGTAGCTTATTGAAGTTAGAGAATATCTTAAAGTATTGTTTAGGTTGGAGGTGGCCTACCTACTGTTGAGTACAAGGCGGGTAGGAATATAGATAGTATCTCAATGGTGTAATCCTGAAGTGAGTTTTAGCAAGTGAGAGGGGTAGACTTTTATAAGAAACTCGCTCTGTTATATCCAGGGTCTACTAATTACCTTTAACTATTGTAAAATAACCATCAATGTTTCTCAACACCTAAGTTAGGCAAAGTCTGTATTACTACCAACTAGGACCAAAGAGGTATGGCTCTGTGTCCATGCTGATGCTAGGTCTTACATGTCTCCGTTAAGGTGCCAATCAAGCCGTCAGGCTCGTATTACATATTTCTCTAGCCATAGGGCTTCCTACAAGGTCTAGCAGCAATCCTATTAGATTAAATGAATTGGAGCTTAATAGCAGAAATGGACATTTCTTTCAATGCTTACTGTGGAATAACTAGCCGGGAGGTTACATTATGGAGTCCGAGGCAACTATATGCTTATGAGTCTACCGACGGACCAATTAAATATCGGCTATCGTATTAGTAGGCCGGGATCTGACACGAAGAAGACAGACATTTGGAATCACCATGCACAAATAGAGAACCTATACTTCCGTCACAGTCCGCGGGTCTGGTGTTTGTGTGCTACGTCTTCTGCTTCCACGCTGCGGCTCTAGCACTTATTTCCCCTGTACCTACGGACACCACAAGCTAATCATGGGTTGTCTTTCGTATTCAACTGGAGTGGCACTCCTGTCAGGGCAAAGTATCTTACCTTGATGAGACGTTACATTTCTAATATAAAGGCGCTTAGAGATCTGAGCGGTGGATGCTTATGTATTACATCTGTTGTTCTTAATGCCTGGAATTGTTATAGATAACATATCCACTACCTAACGCCATACGCGCGGAAAATACGGGATTGCAAAGGGCTGCGTACGCTGATTGAGAAAAGTGGCCGCCTCGACGTGCTGTGTTATTTACAGTTTCTTGCTTTTTATTAACAAGGGTAATCTTTATTACGCATACTCACTTAGTTAGGACTATCCTTTTGTTAAACCTTGGTTGGTAGCCTTGCTGTAAAGTTGTCTATAAATTATCAGCGTGGTGTTGGCACTATTAATCCTACTACAGCTAGAATTGCATAGTTGCTCAAGCTTATTAAGGAGGTTAGATGCTTTCGACGCTGAGGTATACTGAGAGATGATTCAGACTTGAGTGGCTATGATGGTTCAATCTCAGCGATGACTATATAAAGACTTGGCTCTAAGGAAGTTGTCTGGTGTTATGGAATTATATGCCTCTGCACATATTCCACCATGCTCCTCTATTTGTCTCTAGTGCAATTTTTCTGTTTATTTAGTTATATAGTTGATATTAATAAATCAAAGTAAAAGCCTTTTCTATATATCTTTAACTATTAGTTCGTAATACTTTGTCCATTTCGGTATAGAGCCTTTGGCGTATTGGAAAGTTATTACTTATATATTTAACAATCGTTATTAATTAGGCCTAACAAGAACGTTGTAATTGGAACTATATTCCCCTCGATTATCCGTCGCTGCTTGTTTGACCTTTTCCTGCCAAGCCTTATGACCTTCCTGATTAAAATTTCGAAGTACTATTTCGTATTGAGCTCTTGCGGCATGGTACTGCTAGGTGGCCGCAGCGTAGGCAGGCTCCTGTCTATTGGCCAGGAATATGTCCTTGGAAGCATTATGTTGAAGTGCTTACATTCGCCGGCCACTAATTGTCAAAACTCTGATCCCTAGCCAGGCCATACTCTTTCGATTCCTTGTAATTGGCCTCAGCCTCTTTCTTGTTGCTGACGGCATGATCAAACGCAGTTTGAAAGTTCTGCTGGGCAGACTGGATGCGAGCAGCTTCTTCAGCCATTGTCATATGTGTAAGGATGTTCCGTAATGATGTTCTGAGAACTAGACAGGAGGATAACGAAGAGGGAGGTTTGTTAAGACATAGAGTCTGGAGTGCGAGCTTATAGGCAACCTATGTCTCTGCCGTTCTTTGCGCTGACGTATATAAAGTTGGCTGATTAGAGCTAAGAGAGCCAACTAAACTTCTGTTCGTTAGGAGTGACGATTAAACCCCCTCCAGTTACTAAGTTATGCAGGGTGAAGGGGGTCTGTTGCCTGCACCACCCCCGGTGCAGCCCTTATGTAAGCCGGACACGGATATCATCAGCTTCACCGCTTTTTCATCTATTCATGACTTCTAGACTATCAATTCCACTTATTTTGCCTGATATCTATTACTAATGACTTCAATTAAGTCTCCTCTTTGCTGGGCTGATGGTATTCTCCCCCCGGAAGGTCAATACGCCTCGAGGGAAGAGGTCTGTAAAGCAATTAACGCTTAGGCATGGCCTTGTGGCTATGCCGTCTCTATCTAACGGTCAAGGACTAATAATGGAAGAGGTAAGGTCATATTTGGCTATAATAGAGGAGCAGGGCGTATACCCTCTTATTTAGGTAGTAGGTTGACTAAAAGCCTTTGCAATAGATATTAATTCTCTGTTACTGTAAAGGAAGAGCGTTATAAGGCTACTTACCTTACAGAAATTGGCTACCTTATAACAACATGGCTTAATCCCTATAAGCAGAAGTTTATAAGGGCGTGGACTAATTGATTGCTTTATTTTAATTAGTATGTTACCTCCTGCTATAAGGGTCTTTATTAGCTCGTTAAGTCTGATTTAGGAGGCTCACAGGGTGACCTCTTCAAGGCTTAGAGAGTCATCCAGTATATTATGATTAATCAGTTATCCGAGGTAAAATCAAATCAGGCATAGAAGTTTTCAAGCACACCGAATGTTCAGGATTTAAAGGCGTTATATAATAATATCCGTTATTAGATATCATATGAGGCTATCCTTAAGCTTAAAGGTTAACGAGACCGACTTAAGAAAGAGCTTCCTGCCTATACCGGTGCATTTGCGAGGACCCAAGGCCTTCCTTATGCTTATCATCTTATATACCTTATGGAAAAGAATAGGTTATTACAGCTATCACAAATCCATTCACACTGGCGTTTCTGGCGCCTAGGAGACCCTTAGGTTACTATCTAGCCTCGCAAGCAGTTTGACTGCCTTATATTGACTTCAACGGTACCACCAACAAGCACACAGAGAAAGCCCTCCCTGTTTGAGTGGGTTGAGAAGATCCAACAGAAAAAGAGGCCCCTAACGTGCTCGAGTTGTGGCAAGGAAGGCCACAAGAGGAACTCCAAGGAATGCCCTCTCCAGTACTGTGAACTAAAGCTCGATTCTACTCCTGTATTCAGGCCTCCTCCCCATGATCCCTTGCTTAAGCCTCCTCCTTATTAAGTTCCTGTTGTGACAACATCAATGACAACAATAACAACCTACTCAACGATATATATAACAATAACTAGCCCTGTGACTTATCCATCACCTGCCCCAGCAGCAGCTCTATAACACACCACCGCCTATCTACGAGCGTTACGAAGCAGCACTGGAACCTTGGTATAGCACCCAGTCTTAAGAAGCAAGGAATGATTAAGTATATAGGAAAGCCAAAGGTCTGCCCCTGACATACTCCAAACTTGCTATTAAATATGCTCTTGGCTATACGGAAATGGGTGCTTAATTTATACTAGAAAGGGGTTAAGGAAAAGGAAACTAGACTATAGAAGAGATTAATAAATATCTTAAATTCAGGGAAGCTAAAATTAAACGAGTTAAACAGGCTGTAATAAGTCAATTAGAGCAGGGTTATAATCTCAATTATAGCTTATATACTATTAAAAAGGAAGCAATTCTTAATAATTAAGTATAGCAGCTATATATAATTAATATATACTATTTAATAGAGAAAGAAAATTAAAACTTCTAAGTATATATATAATTGCCTAATGGCGTAACTTTACAGTTTTATATTAAGTTATATAATAGTAGTTAATCTAAACGCAGAGCTAATTAACTCTGTAGGCTATATAAAGATATTAAAGCAACCCTGTACCTTTTAAGTTATACTATTATGCAAAGCTATTCCAAACTTACTTATTCCCTTACCAGAACTAGTTAATATGCCCTTAGGAAATTACTATTATTATATATAAGGTATTAGTTTTATAAGGTTAATATTATTTGAATTATATTACTAGTTCTAATTATATTATACCTTAGATAGTTAATAATATATCTCTTAAAGCTCTAGCTATAGCTTAAATAAAAGTATATTATTAATTTTATATAATATTAATAGTATTTATAAGTAGTAACTAGCCTTAGCTAGAAATGTTTATAATAAGTTAATTACTTTAATAAAGTAATAGAAATTTAACTTTTTAATATATATATTAAGATCTTATTTAGTAATTATAAATATAACTTTTTTATATAATAATAAAGTTTATAATATAATTAAATTTAATATTATATATTTAATAATATTAAAAGCTTATATAAAATAAGATATTTCTTTTTTTATAATAATTAGGTTTTCTAAGAGATAAACTAGGCTATATTAAGTTTATTTCTAGTTTAAACTACTGCGTTTTTACTAATTTTACATTATTTATTTTTATATATAAGATTAATTAGTTATAAACCTTATTATATATATTTAATTAATTAAAGTTAATTTAACTTTTATTAACTAACCTATATAAAGTAAACTTAATATAATTTTATTAATTTTAACTTTAATAGAATTTTTAAACCCTGCCTTTACCTTATATTATTTACCTATATATAAACTCCCTATCTTTACTAATTTAAAAGTAACTCTTTAGTAATATTAGCTGCCCTTATAGATATATTTAATAGCTACTCTTTATATATAGTTACATTTAGGCTTATAAAGGCAGTAAGGAAAGCTGCCTTATCTAACTAAAGAAAATAACCTTTATTTAAAGCTATTTCTAAGTCTTTAAGACCTAATAGCTTATTATTAATTTAGTTTAAATTAATTAAATTAATATAAGACCTTTCTTTTATATAGTTAATTAACTAAATTAAGTTATAATTAAAAATAATTATCTTAATAAGGTTAGATTTGCCTTTTAATAAGAAGTTCTTTATAATAATAATAATTATTATATATAATATATAAAGTTCTTTTTTATTAGCTGCCTTTAAAGCAGGCTTAATAGCTAGATAAAGATTATAGCTAGTTATATAATAAATATAATTATATAGCTATAGGCTATTTAATATAGGTATTAAGGCATTATAGCTATTATATTATTAATAAGAAGGGTTAAAAGGGAAAGTTAAGTTAGATAATATACTTTATAATAAGTAAATTAAGTATAATATATTATAATAGTTAATTAAGGTATAGTCTTATAGATAGGTTAAAGGAAGAAGGTTAATTTAGTTATTAAGATATAACTAATATTAGTATTACTTAATTAAGGCAGTAATTGCATTATTAAGGCAGATAAACCTTATTTAATTTTAACTTTTATAATAATAGCCTGCTATAGGGGTTTTATTATTTAAACTATTAATAAAAAAGCTAAAAAGCTTAATAGCCTTATATAAGGCTAAACATAAGGGAGAAAGAAATTATTAATATTTACTTAGCCTTTGCCTTATAAAATTATTTATATAAATTTAATATAAATTAATTTATTTCTTAGGAAATTATAATTATTATACCTTAGGTTACAAAATATAAAATATATATTTTTTATATAAAATTAATTTTAATATAAAATACTAAGCTATATAAATACTTATAACTCTTATTTTTAGTCTTATTAATTAAATTAAAGTATTAAAATAATACTTTATATAAAATAATTAAAAAGAAAATTAATTTAATCCCTTTTTAAGATATTTTTATAAATATTAAATAAAGAGCTAATATAAAGCTAATATAAGCTATTTTAGGAGTATTATTAATTTAAGAAATACTAAGGATATTATTCTATTTTTAAACCCTTTTAAAAAAGTTTAATCTTAATATATAAATTAGTAGAAAAGTTTAAATAACTATTAGTTAAATAAAATAATAAATTCCTTAACTTAATATACTAAGGCGTTTTATTTATTTATTTTTATTTTAATTTATATTATTTTTTATTTTTTATTATACTCTCCCCTAGCTAAATAGGTAATTAATATTAACTTTAATTTTTATAAAATATAATAATTATTAATTTTTTATTTATATTTAATATTATTAATAGCCTAAATAATTCCTTAAAAACCTTATAAAATACAGTTTATAATCTTTTATATTTATATATTTATATTCTTTTTATTAAAATATAGTTTTACTTTATAATTAATAATAACCTTAATTACTACTTTAATTTAGGTATAGCCTTTATTATTAAGAAATCTTATAAAAAAGGCTAAAATATTACTATTACCTATTAGACTTAAAGTAATAATATTAAGAGAAATACTATTTAAAATAAAACCTCTAATAGTTATTATATTACTAATAAGTATATAAACGCTAAAAAGGATAGTAATATTAAAGGCAAATATATTAATATTTTAAAACCTTTTAAGAATAATAAAATCTAAGGTCTTAAGGTTAATAATTATTTATATAATAATAGCTATAGCTTAATAAATAAATAGCTTTACTTTAAGTATTAATATACTAGCTTTATAATATACTATATAAATTAATACCTAGGTATTAAGTTTTATAATATATATAAGGAGAAGGCATAAGATAATAAGAATTAATAAAATCAAGCTATTAAGGCAAGTAATATAAAAGTTATTAATAGGCCTATATTAAGCTATATTACTTAGGTTCTTGCTATTAATAGGAATATAATTACTATTAAGGAGTATAACTAAAATAATTATAAAACTTATAGAATATATAAGGTTAAGAGAAGTAAGATTAAGGATACTAAGAATTTCTAGGTTAATATTCTTATATTATTATTAGCTATACTTCCTCAAGGTAAGCAGGCCTTACTAATTAGTAATAACCCTCTTAAAAATAAAGTAATTATATTACTTTTTAATATATTATAATAAGTTCAACCTTAGTATATATATATAAATACTAATAATTATATAATTACTATTTTTATATTAAATAAGCTAGGAGTTTAAGTATATAAGGAGTTAATTTATAACCTTATTATACTGCCCTCTATATAACTGCCTATAACACTCTACTAATTACTGCCTGTATTAGGTCCTAATACACGAAATCGTGGCTTGTGCACGCAACGCAATTAGAATAAACAGTAAGTAGGGGTCAAGATGATCTTGCCTACATTTGGAAAAACCTTAGTGCGTGCACGGGCCAGATTCTGTGTAATTCGGCATATTACAGCGCGCCCTTGTTACAGTAGGAGTAATAAATAAGATATTGCGGCATGGCTTTCTCTCTTGGGTTGGGAGCCGGATAGAGACCTTGATTGAGGTAGTTTGCAAAAGCCGACAGTGTTCTCAAAACTTAACAGCTACTTTCGTTGTTATTCAATTTAGTAGGAAGGATTTTAGCTTTAGAATAAATAAAAGATTTGTAATGGCCGGACTCCTGGCCGCCCAGATAGGTGCGTTTCATCTTCAGGCTTCGGCTACCCGCCCCCACTTTAATCGCGCCCCTCACAACGCCAACTACTCCTTGGCAAATATTAAGAGGCACAAAGATAGCTGAATGAAATATGGATATATAAATGAAACCACCAATTATAGGAACAATTGAAAACCTACCAAGCCGTCATAAAGATCTCAACCCCAACTACTGTTTACAGACGCGACGACGCGTGTTGTCAATCAAACGGTTATTTGGACACTAATTCGTCTTAATTGAATTACCTTACCAAGGGCTTGGGACAAATTAAGTTGCTTTCCCAAGATTGCCAAGGCTACTTTGGTTACAAAAGGTGTTGATGATACTGTTCTATTACAGGATGTGTGTCAAAACCAGAGCGAAAGGGATGAAACTGTATCACCCTGCGCGCTTAACCACAACAAGAAGCGACCGCAATACGCGAAACCGACAAGATATATTGTTTGGTAACTACTAAAATATTATAAGTAATGGGGAAGATCACCTGTTTCTCGACAAAATCATCCACACGCAAGTCGTCTTCCATTCTCTTCATTCGCTTCTTTTCTTGTGGCAGGACCACCCATTCGTTTCTACACTACTCAACGAACTCCTGTGCGACGTTTCAAAACAAACACAATGAAGTTTCTCTCTCTTGTTTATCTCTCAACTGCGGCTTGTGCCCTTTCCATACAGCCTCGGCAGTTTGGCGGGTTTTTTCGTGGACAGCCCAATTTTGAAAATGGCGATATCACCAATGGCGACATTCCACAAAATGATGCCAACAACGGTGCCAATCAAGGTGCCGGAAATGGGGCAAACAACGGCAACATTCCGCAGGATAATCCACAAGACGGTGCTAACCAGGACAATGGGAACGGGGCGGGTAATGGTGCCAATGACGGAAACAATGGTGGTCAGGGAAATAATGGCGGACAAGGAAATGATGGTGGTCAGGGAGCTGGCAACGCAACTGGCGGTGGTGATGCGGCTGCGGCGGACGGCCAGACGGTAGTGTTTACCGAAATCAACGGAATACCTGGCAACGAGTGCCTTACGTTCAGAAACAACGGCGAAATCGTTGATGCAGCTTGTGTCAATACCGCTGCAGACCGTCAAGTTACCCCTTCAACAGTCAATGGGCAGAGCGCACTTCAAGTCCAACGAACCTTCACCGCAGGCTTCAGACCTGATCTTGTGGACGCTCAGGCATGTATCGGATTCAATGGGACTCATTTCCGTGCCGAGGACTGCAACGCCGAGGGAGTCGAGCCAGTCGCCTTCCAGAACGGCCAGTTGGTAGCCTCTGGCGGTGCTTGCGCGAGTGGCCACGATGATTTGGCACAGATGACAGTCGACACAAGTGGAGCCCAGTGTGCGACTTACACAACCACCAACGTGCAACCTGCAGCCGCTTAAGCAAATGGTAAAGCTTGGTAAGCTAGTGAGAATGCAAAAGCAAGGAATTCCAACACAGTTATAATGGCCTAGTATTAATTATTAAGGAAAGGCCTTATAATAAGGTAAAAGAGTGTATAACAGATATTTAAGTACTTTATAAAAAGGTATTATAAAGAAAATAAAAGAAAAATATTTTAATATAAAATTTATAACTACCTACTTTAAGAAAGTGTTTTATTTTAAATATATCCTTTTTAAATAAAAAAAGTAATAATAGAACTAATAATGCCTTTAAGTAATACTATTAATATATTACTAATTATTTATATAATATATATAATAAGTAAATAAAATATATAAGTAAGGAAAATAAAGTTTTCTTATATACCTATATATTATTTAATTATTTTATTTTTAATTAAATAATATATATTAAACTAATAAAATAGCTTAAATCATTTTAATAGTTTAAGTTTATTATATAGACCTTGAATTAAGTTTATAATAAGCTATAAAAATATATAATATTTACTATCTTGCCTTTTATTATTAATTAATTAATAAACTACTTTAGGCTAATTATATTTTAAATTTATAAAAAATAAGTAATTTAAAAAAATAAGTAATAATTTAATATATCTTTATAATATAACCTAAAAAGAAAGAGTATTTATATTATATATACCTTAACTCTAAATTCTAAATTATATATAATATATATAAATTAGAATCCTAATAATATTATTTACATTAACAGCCTGCTAATAATTAAATTTATATAAGAACTTTTATAATATTAATAAGATATAGGTATTATAATAATTAAAATAAGTAAGTATTAATAATTAGTATTTTATACCACAGCTTACCTATACCAGGAAATTATTATCTTATACCCCTATTTATATTACTTATTAAAATTAGAAGTTTTATGCCTTACTACCTAGTGCCGCTTTTCTAGCGCCTATAAAGCAGCTAGCCGCCTACCTTATTATATAATATACCTTTTAAGTCTCTAAATACCTAACTATCTCCCTTTATCTCTTACTTATTATATATTCCCTTAATAATAATATTACTTACTATTTATATAGCATTCTCTATATTTACTTTATAATAGCTAGAAAGACTTATTTTATAGACCTATAGGCTATAATCTATAAGCTCTTACCCTTTAACTTTATTATTAAACTTTTTCCTATTTTCTTATTATACTTACTAACTGCCTTATAACTAATCTAGCTATTATTAACCCCCTCTTTCTTTTATTAAAGGATTACTTAAATTACTAATCTTAATAATATAAATTACCTCTTATAATATTAGGCCTAACTAATTTATTATTTTATATCTTTTAGTAAAGCTATTACTTAAATAAATTATTTAAGGAAAGGCCTTACTAGGTTACTTAAGTAATTATACTAAGTACTTATTTAATACCTATATTATAATAAGTATAGCAAAGACTTAATTATATTATTTATACTTCTATCTTAATATACCTTAGTAATATTAAAGTGCCTTTATTAATTATACTTAAGTTACCCTTTTTAAATAAAGAATTATAATCCTTACTGCCTAGTTAAATATTATAATTTAATTTTCTTAAATCTTAAATAAGTTTGCCTTAGCTATAATAACTAAGATATTATATTAAAATTTAACTAATATAACTTAGGCCTTCTATAAGCTATAAGGAGGTAATATAATATATAAAGTTTTAAAATATAATATAATCTAAACCTCTTAGAATTTCCTAATTAAAGATATAAAGCTTACTTAAATATACCTATAGCTTAGCAGAATATATAAGACTTATAAAGTAGTTACTTAACTTAGCAATTTAAATCTATATTAGCCTTACTTTTACTTACTTAAAGTATAGCTATAAGGAGAATACAGTTTGCCTTATAGTTATTATATTATATAAGCATTTAAATAGGCTTACTTTTAGTTTATCTTACTAATAAGGAGTTATTTAAATAGCCTTTTAATTATCTTTAGCCTTATATTATACCTACTTATAAGGCAGAAATAATTTAAAATAATCTAATTAATAAATTATAAAGGCCTACTTCCTAATTATTATATTATTTAAGTATATATAGTTATAAGGCAAGTATAGTTTATTACCTAGCTATTATATTATATAAGCCTTTAAATAGGCTTACTTCTAATTTATTTTATTAATAAAGACTTATTTATATAGCCTCTTAATTATTTTTAGCCTTATATTATATATATTAATAAGGCTAAGGCAGTTATAAAACCCCTTTTTAAGATAGTATTTAACTAACAGACTAGCAATAAGTAAGGCAGAAATTAATCTTATATATAAAGATGTTTAATAAACTTTACTAAGCATTTTATCTTAGCCTAATTATATTTCCTAAGCCTTAATGTTTAGTTTATTTGCTTCCTGGTTTATAAATAGTATTAGGGGTTAGGATACTAAGTTTTAAAATATAAATAAAGGGTTTTCTTTTAACCTAGCCTTTTAACCTCTTAGTCTTTTTATAATCTCTTTACTTTATAATTATTAAGTACTTTATTTATTTATATAAAGATTATATTATTTATTTAAAATAGCCTTTAAATTTAAGCCTTATAATCTTATATAATACTAGTAATAAGCTAAGTAAAAATAGTAAAAGTACTTAATAATATACTTAATACTTACTTTAATAAGTATTATAAGTATTAATAATCTCCCTTTACTATACTTAATTACTAATTATAAATATGTTTAAATTAATAAGAAATTTATTTTACTTATTATTATAAATAAAAATAAAAACCCTTATTTAAATTTTCTTACTTTAACAAAATACTTAAGTTTTTATTTACTTACCTTAAGAAATCTAATAACTTATATAAGTTAAAATAACTTATATTTTAAATCTTAATAATTACTATTAATATCTTATAAACTTTATTATTAACTTTTAAGATACTAGCTAGGATTTTAACTACTAAGATTATAAATATAAAGGTAATAAGCTAAGAAAATGGCTTTTAATAGTAATTACTATAAGGCCTATTTAATATAAGTTAAGGCTTTTTAAGTAAAAGAGGAGACCCTTATTAGGCTAGAGAAGTACTTAAAGTAGTATAATTTGCATAGGAAATAACATAGCATTAACCAGGGTTAATAGAGATTAAAGTAAAAGAGGATTTTATAAAAGGAGAGATAGTAATTAGCCAAAAAGGGAAGAAAAGTATAAATTACTAAGCTAAGGCAGGGGAGGTAAGAAAGCTTAAAATGCAATATTAAGTTAAAACTATTACTATAGCCTAATAGCAAGCTAGTAAATATTAAAAGAAGGATAAAAAAAAAGAAAAAAAGAAAAGTTTAAAGGTAAGTTAAGAGGGATATAATATTATATTATAAAAAAGAGGTAAGTAAACTATAATAATATATATATAAATAATAAAGAAATAGGCTAAATTAAGTAAAACTAAAAACTAAATATAACATATTTATTTTAATTTATAAATAATAACTTATCCCTTTTTTTCCTCTTTTAATAAAATTATTATTTATAATATATATAATATATATTATATAGTAAATATAATATAAGTCTTAATAGCTTTACTTATAATCCTAACTATTAGGTTATAATTTATTAATTATATAAAACCTGCCTAATCCTAAAAAAAAACAAGCTAGAGGAGCTATTTATAGGCTAGGCCGCATAAAATAAAAAGCAATAAACTGCAATTAATAGTTAATTAGCTATTAACCTATAATCTATGCCTAGTAAAAGAGCTATAAAAGTAGAAATATAATAAGAAAAGACTATACTAGCTGCTAAAGGGCCTTATTATATATAAAGGGTATATTTATATTAATAATAAATATAACTATTATATATAGTATATAAAGAAGATATATAATTATATACTAGCCTATAGTAAAAGAGCCTTATAGTATATTAGTATTAAGCCTTTATAAAAGGCATATAAGCTTTAAATATACTTTATAATAAAAGGGCAGATTAATTACTTTATTATTAAAGAAAAATAGTTATTATTATTATTATTATTATTATTATTACTAGAGATAAGAAAGAAGCTATTATTATTATAAAAAAAAGGGAAACTATTTAGTAATCTAAAGGTAGATATTATCTAGGCCTTATATAACCTAAATAATAAAGCTAAGATTATATAAGGTATTAAAGAGTTATATATAGACTAAGTGCCTTAGCTTATATATATAAGATTTACTACTTACCTATAAGGGTTATATAATACTAATATTCTATTATTATATATATTACTGCAAAGTCTAAATCTAGGCAGGCAGGATAATAAAGATAATAATAATAATAATAGTAATAATAAAGATAATAAAGATAATATTAATATAAATTTTAATTATATAATAACTATAGTAAATAATATATTAATAAATATATATATATTATATAATAAAATATTACTTAATAAAAAGATAATATAATAGTAAGTATTAAGATTAAGTAACTTTTATAATAATAAAAATAATATAAGTAATACTAAAGCTAGTAAATTCTATAAATTTAAAAATAAGAAGTTACTTAAGTCCTATTTTTAAATAGTAAAATAGCTCTTTATATATTATTACTAGGTAATATTTTATAATATTAAGCACTTTATTAGAGAAAGTAATAACTAAGTATTACTAGGAAATATTATTAAAATAACTAGCTAGTAAGAAAAGGCAATATAAGGCATTACTAATACTTTATAATAGCAAGATAAAACATTAAAGGTTAGATTAAGTAGTAGTAATAATAAGGAGTATAATATTAAACTTAAATATACTATTTATATATTTTATATCTCTTTTATTTACTATACTATTAGAAGTAGGCTATTTTAATTTACTATATTAAGTTTTTATATTATACTTAGTTAAAAAAAAACCTAATATACTAATAAGATAATAAGTAATATATACTATATATTTAATATAAGCTAGGTAACTTTAATAGTAACTTATTATTACTTATTTAAGTAGCTTAGGTTATCTTATTTAACTTTATATACTTTAAAAAGTAAAATAATAAGGATAAAATTCCTAATTTAATTAATAAGATATATAAGAGATATTTTTAATAAATAGTAAAAATACTATTTAGTTATATCTTA